TTTCTTTAAATTATCGTGGAAGTGAACCGATGACCGAAGAAGAAAACCCTAATTTTTAAATCAACCGATCGTGATATTGAAGACGGCTCAATCCGATTTTATTTTCGAAGCACGTTCTCTAGAGGTACGTTAATTAATTAGGGTTTTGTTTGTTTTTATTTTCTTAGATGAACAAATTACCTAGTTGATTTAATGTTTAGGGTATTTGTTAGGTTAGGAATTAATGTGGTTTGTCTGTTTGGCAGCGATTATTGAGTTTGATGAGATTGTAGCAATATGGCAAGCTATGCAGGGAAAGGAGAACCTTCTAATGGGACTATCTATATTAGTAATTTACCTGATGGGACCGATGACACTATGTTGGCTGGATATTTTGGCACTATTGGGTTGTTAAAGGTATGGAGTTTTGCCAGGTACTATTTTTTTTTCGTCTGCTTTTTAAGCATCTACCTGTACTATTTGCTTCCTTTTATGTCGAGGGATTTCTTAGTTTAATTCTTTTATTTACTTTGTATTCCTTGTTGTAATGAGTAGAAGGACAAGAGAACTGGTCGACCTAGGATATGGCTGTACCGTGACAAAATGACGAATGAGCCTAAGGGTGATGCCACAGTTACTTATGAGGATCCTCATGCCGCTCTAGCTGCTGTAGAGTGGTTTAACAACAAGGATTTTCGTGGTAATATTATTGGAGTATTTATAGCACAATCTAAGAGCAAAGATGATACTGTTTGTAACTCTGTGGATGATCCCAATGATTTTGGCGGGTTTAAGGAAAATGCCAAGGATTTGAATGAGGGTGGGGGGAGAGGTAGAGGACAGGACGATGCTCCAGGGAAAGCGTGGCAACAGGATGGAGACTGGTTGTGTCCGAATACAAGGTCTGTGATGTGATATTGGTGAGCAGCTCTTGCTCTTCTAGCTCTAGTCTGTTTTTTTTACACCTTCCTCTTTTCTTATGCAAATAACTTCTTATGCTTTATTGTTCAAGCAGTTGTTCCAATGTAAATTTTGCATTTCGTGGTGTGTGCAACCGTTGTGCAAGTGCTCGGCCTTCTGGTCTATCTGGCGGTGGTGCTGGAGCTGGAGGTCATGGGAGGGGACGCGGTGCCAATGACTCTGGTGTCCCTGGTCGGTCAGTTGGTGCTCCTACTGGACTTTTTGGTCCAAATGACTGGACCTGTCCAATGTAAGCCTCTGGTTGCCCGAGTTTCATAATTTGCATGCTTTGTTGTGCTGTTCAACTGCTAAATTTTGTGTCGCTTGCTATGCTAGTCTCTGTTTTTGAGCATACAGTATAATTTCCTCTGTATTTTCTTCTACTGCTGGACAAATTGATGGATGATGGTTGTGTAACTGTATCTCATAAAACAATCTGAATCACTGACCAATAAAGGGAGAAGATTGCGAGGCTAAATGAGTTCAGTAGAATGATAATGTTTTCAGTGAGATTCAGTTTTAAGGTGGATCCAAACTCAACATTGATGAGCATGAATACAATCTGGAAGGAGAAATACAATGGACTGCTTTATGATGTTTGATTTGATAAAATTTATTGGAGTGTAGCTCCCCATTTCTTATATAATCTATCTAAATAACAGGTGTTGAGCTTGGGACAAAGGGATTTATTCTGATGGCAGGACTGTGTTTAGAATGCTGAATTTTGTAGATAGATTTGTGCGCATGCATTCTGAAGTTTTGTGCTATTCAGTCAAGGATGTGTAGTTGATGAGGCCGTTATGTACTGGATTTATAATAAGTTTAGTTGGTAATATTGTGCTCATTGACCTGTACATTGTAAAACCATCTGCGGTGCTTTTAGCTTGAAGAAGGTATTTGGGTTTCCTTCGTTGGCAGTTGGTTGAGACCTTCAAATTCATATTGTAGGCAAGGTTTCTGAAATGCATGACTAAATATTCAGCCTCCTTTTTTTTGTGTTGCTTATGTTTCTCCTTTTCCTTTTGTATTTCAGGTGTGGCAATATCAACTGGGCAAAGCGCTTAAAGTGCAATGTTTGCAACACAAATAAACCTGGTCACGATGAGGGTGGTGTGAGGTGATATATGATAATTCATAGTCTCAAATACTCCTGATCCAGCATATATAGCTTGCGTGATATAGAACATTGTCAACTTTCTTTGCTAAAATCTGAAATTGGTGGTGCTGAAAACGTTTCCTTACACTTTCATCAGTTCTCCTTTTACAAGGGTGACTGTTTTATGAACTCAAAGACCTTGTAAGTAGCATATGGGTGAGTGGGTAAGCAATAACCGAGTCATAACAAACCTCAATCTTGTTTTATGTACCTTAGTTGAGTGGATAAGCAATAACTTAGTCATATTTGCTTTGTTATGTTGGGTGAACTCTCAGTTCTTAATGGTTATCTTCTTTCCTTGACTTCATGTTTTGCTATTTTTACATCTTGTAGAAACTATGCTAAAATTATGCCCATATCTATGCTCACAGAGGGGGACGAGGTGGTGGTTACAAAGAACTTGATGAAGAAGAATTAGAGGAAACCAAGAGACGAAGAAAAGAAGCTGAAGTAAGATATTCTTGCGGTGCTCTGACGTTGAGATTATTTAACACGTTCTTGTTTTATATTTTTCGCGTTCCAATAACAGGATGATGGAGAGCTATATGACGAGTTTGGCAATCTGAAGAAAAAATTTCGGGCCAAAACTCAACAAGCTGAAGCTGGAAAGGTGCTTCCAGGTGCTGGACGTGCAGGATGGGAGGTTGAGGAATTCGGTATTTGAGCATTATTTCATTCTTTAATTTTCTATTTGCAAAATAAGCATGTATTGAAATCAAGCACGTTGATCTTATAGGTCTGTACATGTTATTCATGAACAGGAGTTATATCCATCAGAGAATCAGATGGACAGTGGAGTATTAAAATTTTACTTTGACGAAGTTATCGGTGTTAACAAAATGATATATTGCCAGGTGTTGCTGATAAAGAGGGGAGAGAGAGAAGCAGAGAAAGAGGGAGGGATCGGGATGACAGGGAAAGCAGCAAGGCCAGAGATCGTGATGGCAGGGACAGGCGCCGTAGTCGTAGCAGGGAGAGGGATCGGGATCGAGATTATGAGTATGGTCGAAATAAAGAATATGGACGGGACAGGGACCGTGATCGGTACCGATACTGAGGATAGAAGTAAAGGTTCTCAGCTTTCATCCTTGGTTGCTTTGGCTGTCTACTTAGATGGGAAAGATGCCATCAGATATGAATTTTGGTTGCTGTCATTCGATATGAAGTTCGGTCTTGCATGGCATTTTTGTCTTATCCGGAATTTTAAAATCCCTGCTCCGATGTGACTTTATGGAGTTTTTCCCCGTACTGCAACCATCAAGAAACTAGGAACTGGGTCATCAGTGCTCTTGTTGTTAGATAGACTAGTTTGAAATTGTTTTAATGTCTTCTAAAGTTTAAAATCTGGCTGGTGTTAGTAAATCTTTTCCGCCCCTTGCATGGATGGGTGGATGGACCTGAAAGGTGGTGACAATGAAGACTATTGATCGTGCAAATCACGAGCTCAGCATCAATTACGAGTGATGGCATGTTAGCAAGATCGATCATGTTTTTTGCAAATGGCTCCTCGTGTACTGTGTTTGGTTATTGAACGACAATATGATTTTTTCTGTCGTTTGGATCGCCAAAGCTCAAAATTATCCCTGTAGTGGTGTAGCCGCCAAAGCCACATTTATTGGCGAGAGAAAAATCGGCGTGGCTTAAAACGACGCCTTTTAGCTGTCTGTCTTCTATTGTAGTAAACAGTGAACACAGTTATGCGACTGATTTATGGTCCTGGTGGGTTACAGGATTAAGTTCAAAAGTGCTTTCGGCATCATTTATCATTTGGTTTCGAGCTTCTATAGAACTTCCATTGTGTTTGATTTGATGACAACCATTGTCATTCTCAAACGAATTTAAGGAAAGAGATGCTATAGAGGAGGCTACCTTTGTCTAACGTAACAGCCACCGAACTGTTCGTTTCTACTCTAAGAGCGTGGACTTTCAATTGCCCAAGATCTCCGATGTTTCAAGATCCTCGAACTTTGACGGTACTTGCCTAACCTAACGCCCACCATCACCCAGCACGGGGACGGTATCAAAATAAAATCTCCCCGTGAAATTTTTCTCATGACTCTACAAGGTCCAAATCCCTACAAAATTTTGTTATACAGACGGTTCTAGCACCCCACTTCACTATCTGGTAATTCCTCTTCTTTTTACACCCACCCTTTATTTTTTTGTGTACATGGCTTTAGCGCCTTGCCTCAATATGTTCTTCTTTAGGGTTTTTACATCCCCTCTTTCGTTTTATTTTCGGTCAATAATCATTCCATGTAGTATAATTATTTAAGATAGCAAATTGAGAGCCCCCTCTGGTCGGATGCAAATTCTACAAGCAGCTTATCCACAAATAGCTAGTCACGTGACATAGGAGTGGTGCTGCTGTGCGTTTCATTTTCCTTTGTTCATGTGAAATATTATTAGTAGCAGTGGGTCAGAAGTCTCTGCTGGGCCCCTTATTCACATGTCCCGAAAGTGTAAAAACTCCCGTGGGGACGTATGCCAAAGCCAAGCCGAAGCCAATATAATAGAAAAGAACATTTCATACGTGTGTGTGAGTGGGTGAGACAAGGGATATATAATACAATAATAGAAATCTTCTTGGAGACAAAATTGCCTGTCATCGCTTTCGTTCGGCGTACCAATGTGGTGTTTCTTTTTAGCTTCTACTGCCAACTTGTATTTTGTTAGCTTCATATATTTATTGTTATTTCTTTTATCAAATTATTCGACATAGTGAACTCATGATCGAAGGCAGTTGGTGGAAAGAATTTATATTTTGTTTTCTTTGGAATTCTTATTATTTTTATTATAGAAAAATAATTATTCTTTTTAATTTGAGATAAGTCATATTTATGTCCATTTTTACCGAGTGATTGAACACTCACTGGAACTGTTTTTTTTTTTTTTTTTGCCCTTTCTATTTTATCATAAAAGGCACTTTCTACTGCATGCGTCACAGATCACAATTCTGTTCACAACTACTAGTCAGAGTGAAAAACCAACGGTAATGTCAAATGGAGCTTTAAATTACTGCGGTATTTATCAACCGTGATGATGCTTCTTGGGGGTATTATGAGATAACTGTATCCTTTATATAGCGTGTATGATTTTTCTTGTCTGCTGTCATCATATATCCTTAGAGCATTTCTCACTATCAGGCAAACATAAGTTTCTTGGTTACATTCGATGCAAAGAAGCAATGCCACAGCCCTGTGATCTTGCAATTAATGTTAATGGTCAACAAACATTCTTTATCAATCAGGTACTACTGCTAGTTTCCTTTCTTCTTTGAAACTTCAGGGAAGATTTTCTGATTGATCTAGTTCTGATTGTTTATAGTTCATTCTTGCAGAAAGTTCTATCAGCATATTCAGAAAAGCTAAAGAAGATCGTCAGGAGAGAAAAGAGAAAATCCCACATTAAGGATTCAATTATTGAAATTGATGACTTCCCCGGAGGCCCAGATGGGTTTGAGCTGGTTTCAAGATTCTGTTACAATCATGGCGAAATCAAAATCACAGTTTCAAATGTGGCTCTTCTCCATTCCTGTGCAGTATTTCTTGGCATGACTGAGAATGTATCCACGAGCAATCTCTTGAAACAGACAGAGACATTTCTTGATGGAATGATTTACTGGTCTTGGCAAGATACAGTTTCCTGTCTCAAAAGCTGTGAGTTATTCTTTACAAATGCGGATTCATCTGGGCTTGTAGAAAAGCTCATTTTTTCACTATTGGGAAAGATTGCACATAATACAGATATTGCAACTCTTGCTGCTTCCTCTTCTTCATCTTCATCATCTCCTGAAACTGCATCTAGGTTCAGGTTTTCTTCCCCGTCTAAAACCACTCCTGAGTCAACTAAGCCACGTTCATCGAGCAAAAAATGGTGGTTTGATGATTTGATCATATTACCTCCAATGATTATTGAAAAGGTAATAAAAAATATGGGGGCTTATGGAACTGACAACGATAGCTTAATCCTCACAAAATCCCTACTCCATTTCCTGAAAATGGCAGTACTTCAATGCAAACGTGGAGCAAAAAGAGCTGCTCTGTATTCAAGATCAGCCTATGCTGGTCTTGCAGACACTGCTGTCCACGGGGTGATTTCTATGAGCTGTTCATTTTCTTGCAGAGGCCTGTTTTCAGTATTGAGGATTGTGTCTGGATTTGGTCTGAGCAAAGATTGCAGAGCTAAGCTGGAGATGTTGATTGGTGGGGTGCTTGACCAAGCAACATTGGATGACTTGCTTGTCTCTGGCCGTGATAGAGGTGTTTTTGATGTTAATCTGGTATTGAGATTGACGAGAATATTTGTTCATAGCGATTTGCTGTCCTCACAGAAGTTGAAGAAGGTTGGCACATTGATTGATAAGTACTTGTGTGAAATATCTCCCGATCAAAACCTTAAGACCTCAAAAGTCCTAGGAGTTGCAGAAAGTTTACCAGATTCCGCAAGAGATAGCTTTGATGGGGTCTACAAAGCCATTGATATCTACCTTGAGGCAAGTATTGCAAACCCTCATTTCCTCTTTCTTTTTTGTTTCTTTCTTATCCATGATGGCCAAATTATTGATGGTTCTGGATAAAGAAGAGAAAAATCAGTAAGAGTTAAACAACAAAGACAAATTTAACAGACAAGACAAAATCACCAACCAATATTTAATTTTTCTTCTTCTTAGTTTAATTTAATTATAGCTATTGCCTTTCTTTTAAGTTTCTTTCCCTTTAGCTGATCAGCCGGAGAGAACCACGGCATTTACCCTCTCTTCAACATTGAAAAATGAATCTGATAACTTGTCATTTCTAGCCAGGCCCAGGTACCATTGTGCCGGTATTTATATATTTTGTTTAATAAAATGTAAGATATATTTATATATATATATATATATATATATGTTATTTTATTAATCTAGGATTGCTTGATAATTTTTATAAAAAAAATTAAAAAAATAGTATATTTTTTACTCAACCGTTATTAAAAAAACATGGTTTTATTATTAATTACTATTATTAATAGTGATTTTAAACACTCACTATTAATAGTTGTATTAAACAACATAATCCACCCTAAAAATTTCCATAAAATAAAATCTAAATCACTATAATTAAAGACCAAACAAGGACATAACTTACCACACCTCAAACCTATAGTCGAAAGAGTTTTAACATTATTTTTATTTATTAATTATAATTTCAAATCAATACTTATGGTTTTTAAACATTATTTTTATTTATGTGTATTTTTTAAATTTTTAATAGATAATTTGAAATTTTAAACAATTTCTTTAAATGTTTATTTGTTAATTAACAATATTAAATTATGCTTACAAAAACATAACTTACAACATCTCAAACTTATAATCAAAATACGAGTAATTTTAATATCATTTTTATTTATTAAGTATAATCTCAAATTAATGCTTATGTTTTTTAAACCTTGTTTTTATTTATATGTATTTTTTAAGTTATTAATGGATAATTTAAAATTTTAAACAACTTATTCACATGTTTATTTGTTATTTGTTAATTAATGATGTTAAATCATGCTTATATATAAACTAAGTATAAAAATGAATAATATGTAAGAGAACTTTAAAATTAATATGAAAATTAACAAAAATAATATTATAAAAGTAATAATAATAAAATTAACTCTTAACTAGAAAAATACAAAAAAAAAAAGATACAACAATTAATAATCAATTCAAATATATATATAAAACTAATACAAAAATTAGATTCTAGGATTTTCTCTTCTTCTTTCAGGAGCGGTGACTATGAAAAAAAATATTATAAATGCTTTGTAAAAACAATTTAGAATCGCAATTTTATTATGGAATCCCAATTATAAAACATAGTTGTTAAAGAACCCTTATTGAAAATAACAATTGTATCAATACCACAATTATAAATTATAATATTTATTTAAACTGTTATTGTAGGTAGTGATTTTTCAACAATTACGATTTTCAACAATGATTCTTTATAAAATAACTAATTTTTCCAAAACTTTATTAACTTTATTGAAACTATGTTAGTTTTTATATATATAGCCAGACCGGGTGCAATGAACAATATCTGCAATGAAAGAAACATCTTACCTACCAGAAAGAATATAATAACACTCCATTAATTATTTCTGAGAAGGGATTTTTAACCAGTGGCTAAACGTGTTCTTTTCCATGATATGGACCTATGGATGTCCAATCCAACATCAATGGATGCTAACTACTGATTTATGGCCCGGCCGACCACATATAAGTTTGTGCATCTTCTTCCTTTTTACCTCTGAATCTTTTGTTTCTTTTCCATTTCAAAGTCCGTGACACTCACGGCAACTCATTCTGCTACCACCACCGTCATTTGTCATCTATTTAAACAGACAAAAACCTGCAGAGATTCTTCAAATAATGCATGCAAAGGGCCATGCTGTTCATAGTCTAACGTTCAGGAAAGTAGAAATGTTTGCCTGGATCATTACGGAACACAAGTTCCTTACTTTATGCCAAATATATGAGGTAGAATGTGTGCATTGAACCTGATATGGCCTCCTAATTTGCTTGCTTGTCCACAGAGTTTCTTACTATTCTTTTACTTCAAAGCTTTGTTGGCTAAGAAATAATCCCAATAATCTGTTTTCAGTATTAGTGATGCTAATTGTACAGAAAAATTCCTTGCAAAATATTCTCTAAAATATCCCCCTCCATTTAATGAGAGAGTGAGAGAGTCCCAGTACTAAGAAGCCTCACAAATCTAATGTTGAAATTCTTTGAAAAATGACTTCCGTAAAATTAACATTGTAAAGGTATAAATTAGATTTTCCAATCGTATAATTATCAATCTTCAATGCATTCTATTTGTGGATATTTGCAGTCTCACCCAACACTCCCATTTGAGGAGCGATCAAGATTATGCAGATGCCTTAACTACGAGAAGATGAGTCTTGAAGCATGCAAAGACCTTGCCAAGAATCCAAGAATCCCTCCAGATATTGCAGTTCAAGCACTCAAGCTACAACATTCTAAAATATCAAAAGGTGAGTACTCTGTCCGTGTCAAAGTCTTGAAGGGACCAAGCATGATCAATTCCTCCGGGATGGTCTTATACAATGGCAATGTTGAGAGTCTTTCACCGGAGAACCAAGACACGAGAATGAACATGCAATGGGGGGTCATGGAGTTGGAGAAGGCATGCAGGGAGATGAAGCGTCGGGTGCCAAAGTTGGTTGGTCATGATGTCAATATCATGAGGGGTACTACACCTTATTATAGCAGATCGCCTTTGCCTAAACTCTGTTAAACTTCTCCTTTTCTCTCACAAAATTTATATCTAGTCCTTTGCGTTTTTTTCTGGTGAAAGTAAGACGAAGGATACATGTATATCATGCGCCGATATCAATTAAAGACTCTAATCCCTCTCATAAAATCTAAGCTTGAGGGATTTTTTGTGAATATTTAGTGATTATAGTAAAGTTTTGTATTGTTAATGCTATTGATATTCCACGCAACTGCAATTTATATTCCAGGTTCTTGGATCACAGTCCCAGATAGACTAGTTGTCCAGTCACCGAGTTGTACCTGGCTAAATTTTTATGAAAGGAAGTTGCTAAGTACCATGAACCTCAAGAGAAGCTGGAAATTTATTGTGTTTGATTATTGGAGTAACTGCAGCTCTTACCACACACACACACAACCCATCAGCTGGTTTTGGTTTTTGGGTCATGGTAGGGTGTAGTTTTAACCCATACAAGGGAATTCATAGGTTACACAACACAGAAAAAAGGCTTCTCGACATGGAAACAGGCGAGTGTCTTCCCTTTCTGGCATTTGATTTGATTTGATTCGCTCTTGGATGTCCTTATCGATACATTCCCTGCACGGTAAGGTCACAAGATAATAATAAAAAAAAGAGTTTTATTTCTTTATTTTGGTAATTATGGAAAGATGAATACAATCAGAGACCTCCCCCCAGTGCTAGTTTCTGGCACTAGTCGGATGGTTTTCAAAAACAGTTGGCTTAGCAAGTTCCTGGTGGCGGCTCGTCGTTCTATATATTTTACCATTTTATTTATTTATTTTTTGGTTGGTTATCTGGAGGGGTTTGTTTCTCCTATCCATTCACCCGAGCACATATTTTGCATATTACTAGTATTTTTACATGCAATTCGGCAGCAGGCAAATAATAATTTTTATTTTAAATATAAAAAAATATTAAAAATATTTAGTAGTTACGTCATATCTAAGTCTCATGAGATATGACTCATGAGTTTGGCAATAAATTAAGCTATGAAAAACATGCTTAATCAGATAAATAACAAATAAAAAAAATATTTGTATACTTTAGTTATTAGAAAAAAAAAACATGAAAAATAAACAACTAACGGTAATTCATTTATTATCTATGTTCATGCGTCCTATTATATTAAATAAAATATGACTGTACATGTACATCTAGTAAGACAATAAATAACAAGATTTGTTCAAGAAAGCTTCACACAGGTCGTCGTAATCACATAAGCACAACTCACTCTCTAACAAAACATAAAAAAAAATAAAAATTCTTATTATAATTGATAATAAAATATTTTTTAATTTAATATAATTTGCACCAATTATTTAGCTTTTGGTATAATATTTGCAAAACATATCGTGAATATTGGGGATCCCGTGCTTAGATCTGGGATTAACACGCACCGACATAGGGAACAAAGCACCTAATCAAGATCGTCCCGCAACTTCCCATGACCAAAATAAAAATAAAAATTCCTGCAGCCAGTAGGAGCAGTTTAGGGTGACGTTTTGAAAATAAAAATAAAAATAAAAACATAACTATTTATTTTGGATTTTTCATTGGAAAAAAAAAAAAACTAACAACCACTGTCACAACTTTTAAAAGGGATTTTTTTTTTTTTTAAGAAATGATAACAGATAAACTTCTGTATCGTTGCGTAATTGCATGCTCACAAGCTACCAGAACCAAAAAAAAGGTTTAATCATGGATTAATATTTATTTAACTCTGACCTGACTTGAGCTGGTTTTTTTTTTATTATAAACTTTAATATTTCTTTTAATTAATAAAAGTTCAGTTATAATTATACCATCAACAATTCTATGAATTTAAAAATATTATAAAATTTTAATATTAGTATATTAAAATTAAAAAAACATGTATAAGAATTAATTAAAAACTATTTTTTAAAAAAATAATAAAATTAAATCAATACCTCAAACAAAAACATAAAAGCATTGAACCAGTCTATGCTTAGCTTATAAGTTGAACACGGACCATCTAATTCTGGTCTGTTACAGTGTTCCAAAAACATGACTGAATAAATAAATAAATAAAACACATCAATTGATTAAGATAATTGACAACTTTTTTACAGTGGAAGAATAGTCAGTTTGACGTCTTCAAAATGATATCCAATCCTACATGGACACGCACACACATAATTTTGCTAATATCAAAATTGGGATGACCACCTTAATTGGACCGAAGAAGCAGAAGATTATTATTATGGTGCTTTCCAAATAATATACGAAATTTCCACACACACGCTAATAAAAGTTCTAAGCAAATTCAATACCGTCAATTCCTAGTATATTTGGGCTTATATATTTAGAATTATGATAATAATAATGATTTAAAATTTTTTTTTTTTTTAAAAAATTATTTCTGAATTTTAAAAAAATAAAGAGGACACTACTTTTCCAAGCAACTAAATGATCATTACTTATTTACAACTCATACTTTGTATTCCTTAATTATATTTAATTTTAATACAACTCTCCCTTTTAATGATTTATTACTTGATTCCTATCTCACACTTCCTCTTTTGTTTTTTGTTTTTTTGTTTTTCCTTTTCTTAATTAGATGCGTACCCTTTTGTTTAATCTTTTAAAACAAAACACGCAGAAAACGACAAGTCGACAACCCTTGCTTACAAATCACAAATTCAAAAAGATCCCCGGGACAAGACCGTAATTTAGGGTTTTGATTTATTATTATATTGTCCGGGTCTATCTTTCTTTCAATTGTACCTGTTGTGCACCGCGTCAAGAGTAAAAGAAGGAGCGTGCAGCGACCTCGTCAACTACCTGCGGCGGCACCTGCCCCCGTCTTTTATTCCTCTACCGTCCTTGCCGTATACATAATAGAATCACAGCCACCATTTCTCACCGGTGCTTATTTTTTCTATTCCATTCTTCTCATCAACAATGTTTCTGACTGAGAAACCCAATTATCCCTCCTTCTTCGATTCTTTTAACAAACATAAGAAGAAGAAGAAGGAGGAATTCGATCTTATCTCTCACTCCTTCGACGAATCCATTCTTCGTCGCCTCAATGCTTTATGTAATTCCCACTCTTCTGTTACTATCAATTTCTCCTGGCTCTCCTCGGCCCTCGCTTTTCTCTCCTTCACACATAACCAAGCCATAACCCTACTTTCCAACCCCAAGCTCACCGATTCCTTGAATTTTTACTTGGACGACAGTGTCAAGCTCCTCGATATCTGCAACTCCATCTTTTCGGAGATTGAACGCTTACGCCATCGCCGGCTTCTCCTCAAATTTGCTCTTCACCTATTTAACAACAACAGTGAAGATGCAGAGAAGCTAAGAAGAGCTAGGGCTTCGCTGACTGATTGGGATAATAATCTCAAGGGACCCAGATATGATAGCAGCAAGAATTTGGAGCATCTGGTGATAGATTTGGCTTTCATGCTTAAGGAGGTTCCACGTGGAAAGATCTCATCCGATGAAAGGATTGTCCGCCGCACGATCCACTCCGTTGGGTTGGTAACGGTGTTCGTCGCGGGAGTTGTGGTCGCGGCGTTGCGTGGATCGACGGAGTTAGGTGTTGCCGTTGGAGCGCCGTCCGAGTTTTTGTGGTCTGACTCGTTCAATCTTCTCAACTCAGCGATCTCGGCCGAGCTGACTCGGCCGGGCAAAAAGAGGCATCTGCTCGAGGAGCTAGATGACGTGGAAGCACGTCTCGGGAAAGTGATCGGCGTGATGGATGACGCAGGCGGAGAAAAAGGGGAGAGCCTAAACGGTGCCGTTAAGGAGCTGGAAAGGGCAACGGAGACATTAGGAGAGGGACTGGAGAGGTTGAGTAACGGCGTGAATGAAGTGTTCAATACGGTTATGAGCAGTAGAAAGGAGATGCTGGTGAGAATGAGAGTGGGTCAACAAAAGCAACAGACAAAGTAATGCTAAAAAGCTGAGGAAGCCCGCCTGATAAGAATACATAGAAAGAAAGCATGTTTTATTTTAGTGACAAAAAAGTACAGCGTGCGCGTGCTCTTGCTTGCTTTATAATCTTGTCTTTGTAAATGTGCACTGCTAATGAAAGAGTATTATTGCTAATTGGAATTTGATCAAGCAAAGCTTCTATCAATAATGCTTGTTGTCATATCACGCGATACTGGATAAAGATTCTGCCGCCGCAAGCCTTTCTAGAGTTTGAAATCTTAAAGCTTTTGTCGATCATTTCGATGGATCATCACTCGTGATATAATTTCACCAATTCAATGTTTCTAGTCTCTCAAGATTTTTACTTGTAGTTTCTGAATTCACGAGCATTTAAAGATTGATTAATCAGGTATTTATTGAGACTGTATATGCTATCTGGAATAGAAAAAACAGGGGTAAATTTAGCAAGATGGCGGCACCAATGCTGTGATCATCCTCGTTAATGATAGAAGAGAGATTGACTCGAAGACATGTTCTTGCTCAAGAAAAGGTATTCCTTTATAACCAAGCATCTACCAAACTACACAAGCAGAGACAAGAAGCTCGCGGGTTTGGCATGTGGGTGCGTGTCTTTTGAATCCTCACTACCCGTACGAGTCCAGGCTAAATTTCTAACTAAATCTCAGACGTCAAATTCTACCAAAACTTGCTATGGTTATAGGATTTACTTGTTCAATCAGAACGGACTAGAGAGAACGTGAAGCTTTAATTAACTTAATGAGGTAGAGGTGACAACATTGGTCTCTTTACTAGGCCAGTTTGCTTTCCGAAGAAAGCAAGTCCAGTCCAGCTCTAAAATAGAGAGTTCCTTCTGAAACAAAGCAAAGGCAACATGCAGCCAGAATATTGTAGATATAAATCAGTTGGTGTTCTATATATTTTAAGTTTCCTTCATGGGCGTGACAAGAGAAAAAGAGGGAAAAAAAATAGGCAAAACAAAAATACCGTGCACTCACAATTGCGGGACAAAAAAAAAAGGGGGAGAAAACGAAACCAAAAACATATAATATACTAATTAAATCATTCCCCGTGTACATACCCGTCGTGTTACAAAGAAACGGTCCGTGTTATCCTCAATCTTCCTCTCTTTACAATCTGCTACCTGAACTCTGCGCTGCAAAATAACCTACCTATTCTAGGCTTTCTAGCTAAATATTCGGATACAAAATAACTTACAAGAAACGATATCAATTCCTTCTTGGCAATCAACAGGACAAGATCTATCACTAGTTGAGCCCTATAGAGATGGTAAGTGTACATTAAGAAAATTTAAGTCTATTAGCTGCTGTTTTGAATTGGCTGTGAAGCACATCTGTCTTCAATGGCTTCAGAGTTCAAAATTTTTCTAAGAGAGCGATATTGTAGACGAACATTCTCACCACTACCAATAATCTTAAGCAAGTACCTGAAAGAAAGAAAAGGAAAGATCTTTGCACTGTGCATCTAACATCAAATTAAACCATGATTTGCTTTCATATCCATACAGCGTTCAACTACCAATACCATGATTATCTGAAGGTAAGTAGTGTTTAACTGGTATAACAAGCCATCTCAACTCACCAGCCATTGAGACATTGTGAAGTGATGATCGCTTCCTTTCCAACAAATTTTTCTGGTGTCCTCCTATTTCCCTATATGATTCAACACAGCGCTCAATGTTTCATGCATGCAATGCCAGTGACAACAGCCATAAACAGAATACAAGGAAAGAGAATGCTAAAACGAACCTTAATCACTACTTTCTCATTTACAGCGAAAGGATACTGAACTCCTCTATGCAAACCATCGTCGGCAACAATATCTCCATTCTCCTGAGGACAGGCAAATGATCAGTCAAAATGCGTTTGAAATTGGACTCTTATTAATACAACAGAATTCACAGCATGCTGGTTTTGTAAGCAACAAACTACAGCGAGTATCGATCATTGAAAACATCAAAGAGACAAAATCCATTTGAAAGCACAACACTCCTTAAAGAGTTGACAATGGTCCACAACACCTGAGAGAAAATACGACAAAATAAGGTTCTTCACACCAATTCCTAATGCTTCATTTGTGCTCCCAGTCATCATTAGATTTTTATTGATTTCAAATCAGTTAAAAAAGAAAAATTTAGAGTTATAGTTTTGATCATAAAAGCTCAGACAGAAGTCGGAACAGAACCCTTAAAACATTGAACGCTGTGGAAGAGCTATCAATGTTCCATAGTAGTTGAGACAAAATAAGCCAAAATCAAGGCTCTTTACACCAATTCTTAATGCCTCATTTGTGCTTTCAGTCACCATTAGATTGTTATGGATATCACCCACTACCAACAGAGCCAATGCCCAGTTGAAATTTTATACAGTTTTTCTAAGTCGCATCTAAATTCCCTTTGCCTTGCCTTCCCCTTATCCACTACAAACATAAGTAATTAAAGATTTGATATCCATGCATGCTTGGAGAAGTGTATTTCCAGGATAACTAGATAAAAAAAGTCAGGCACTTATTTGATGCATACCCCATGTGGTCTCTTCTTCATGGAATCTGTGTGATCACACATTTCTTTGCGACGCTTTCGCAGAGTTGCATTATGGAATAGCCTTCGATCATCTTCATTCTTTACAGCTGATGCTGCAGCTCTAAGAGCTGCATATAAGTTAAATATAAGAATAAAGACGATAAGATGCAATTAAGAGGTTCAGAAAAGAATTGGCATCTAGCATGACCAGGCATCAAAAGGTTCCGTTTGTGTGTTTGAGCGTGGGAGAGAGCATAAACAAGTCAAGTAGAACCTACCATAATTAGGAACCAAAGACCCAGCCTCAATTTCAGCATTGCAAAGTGTACATCTCGACTGTAATGCAAAAAACAACTGGAGTTATGATTCTTGTCTCCTATATAGACTAGACAAGTCTATCGTACAAAAGCAGCAGACCAGTAGATCTATTAAGAGGATATCAAAGAGCATGTCACATCACAATGTAGGAGTGCTTGAATAACAGAAAACGTCAACAGACTATACATTCTGTTTTGGTGCCTATGCAGTATAAGCAATAAACACTAGCTGAAACATTTGATGAAACGTCAATTGGAATCCAGGCAGGATGGGGATCAAAATTCTTTCTACTTCTTGAAGTATTATGACAGAAAAAGAGCAAGGAGTTCTATGAGTGCCAAAGTTTGTAGCTAATTTTTCATGTCATCAGAAAAATATAAAAATGTAGGTCCTGAAACTCCCTTGAATGTATTGACACTAGAACCAATATAAGAACATCAAGCATCTAGTGCTTTTTACCATCTTATTCCTATGCTATTGCAAACGTTACTTCTAATTTCCATATAACTAGCAGATAATCCTACTTACCATATCAATGACTCTTCTCAGCATGAGACCACCAAACGAATGTCCACAGGAAACAAACATGGCATCTTCAAGGAATGCACCCCTGAGGCATCATTAGATAAGCGCGTGGAAAAGAAAAAACTCATTTATTATCACATAGCCCACATTAACATAGCAGTCAGTTTCTTTCTCTCTCTCTAAACAAGGGAGGTAAAATCAACATATGAGTAAGAAGAGCAATAAATATAAAATTGATTTTATCAAAATCATCGACAATGAACAGATGCAGCCAAATAGGAATAACTTCTTGAATTACCATATTTTGATTTTTATTTCTGCATATTCTTGTTTTTCTTGTAAACTTAGTCTGTTTAGAAATTTCTCCTCCTTAGGAATTTAAAGCTACTTAGGAAAGTGGAATTATGGTTTAGTTTCTATCATCTATGGTCTTCTGATTTTATTTGATGCCAAAACTACTGTTGTATGAGTTTTCTGGTTTTCCAACAATACACAATGATTTTATATCAAAAGTTTTCTAGTATTTATGATTTTCCTTTTTCCTTTTTCATTTTGGATTTCTATTTCCTATTTAGATCAGAACTATTAGGGCTTTTGGTTCCTTTAATAGTAACATCTAAAAGGCAAGACTTTAATGATACAATTATGAGTGTTTTGGTTTAGTTTGAGCTGCAGCCTGAGAGGGTTTCTTTTCTTTTCTTTACTAAGTGCTATTTTCTTCCATTTATTTTTGGCTACTACTAACCTCAGTCATCATTCACATGTACAGTAAAAGCTCTAATTTCCTTCTAAGAACCTTAATTTTCTGACCCAGTGAGCTATGAATCATTTGTGGGGAATAAATCCAAATTTTCCGACATCAAGTATAGACCTGATGATTCATCCTGTTTTCTATTTCTTTGATGACATGGAACTCCGAACTCTGCTGAGAGCACCAAGAGATGAGATTATGTAAAAACTTAATGCACAGGAAGTCAATTCTTAACAAATAATTGTAGGAAACTCTCATAATGTATACATACACTGGCAGACCAGCAGTGCTGAAAATTTCTCACTGCATCAGTGAAAAGGAGATGTCGCAGAGATGAAATATAGACAAAAAGATTCACCACCCATCTTTTCCACCATTGTGATAACCTGAAGTCTACTTAGGCACTAGCAGCTAAAGATCTTTGTCACAGGGATATCTAACCATACAAATCCCATAGCATGTGAAGTTGGTTATCGCATGTGATCCTAGGAATAATTCTATGCTATGTATTTTTCTTTTATTGGTGAGTCACTCCCAAACGTTATATATGCACAACAAGACCATTAGAGGGGTTTGTTGTGAAAAAAACAGAAAGAAACCAGTATGCAGATTTCTTTCTAACATTGCACAAATATGTTTATTAAAAACTTACACTTTGTATTGATAACATTATAAAGTAGGGATTGAGAATATTTTAACTGGATGAATTTAACAATATAAGCCATAGTAAAAAAGGTGCTAGTATCATGTTAAATTGAAAAAACCTACTTGATTCCGAGACTTGAGACTGTTACCTGATCTAGGATGCCATTATATTGAAACCAACAAGCATAATGGAAAAGCACAAGCAAAGACAGAAGAACTCACGACAAGGGATCTGAGAGCACACTTCTTAGTGATGGTTCCTTGTTCGTATCATTTTGAGCAACCTGTAAATCCAAAATTTAAAATGAAATCTCATGATAAATTACAACTGAAAGTTTCAGTTGATCAGCAAACAAAAAAGGTAAAGCATTTAACTCAACGACAAGAAAGAAAATCTCAATATGCATGAACAAAGAATAAAGACTTGCAGGAAACCAAGTAGCAAACTCATATTCTTTTACATGTGTGAGCATCGCCTGATTTCAGCTGATTTTTTCAATATTTTTCTTTTTTCTCCAGATGTGAAAGTCATAAATAGAAATTTTGCAAACCAGTGAAAAAAAATCAAAGAATAGGAACTTGATCAATAACAATATGAATTCCATAACCGTTGCTCATGTGGGGTCTTTAAGATCCGATCTCAGCTGAAAACAGGGCAGATAACAACTATGTTTCATGACAGATCAAATTATCTATTTCAGCAGAACCTACTCTTAACGACCTTGTGAGAAGAACAGAGAAGAAGGAAAGGCCACAAAGCACATCAAATAAAGAAGGATAAAATCTAATATACAAAGGTTCAGTTGGTGGAAATTCTTTTACTCTTATGCTTTTACAGGCAAACTCCAATTAGAACTTACATAAGTATTATTAGGTTGATTGCACACAGCATCCTCCTCTGCAGAAAGGTCATCCATAAACTGACTCACTGATATTGGTACATAGCGCTGGGGAATAACATGACCAGCTGCTGCAATTGGAGAACAATCTAAAATAGCATTTCCCTGTGGCATGAGCCTGAATACCAGTGAAGTCCTGCAACAGTAAAGTTTAGTGAGCAGCCTAAATGTGAAAATCAATTGTAAAACTGGAACAATTTTAAACACAAGATGCATGGCATTAATCAGTTTCAATAAAAATATTTATACCTCCCACCACTGTTAGTACCCGATGAGAAATCAGGAGCAGCTCTATATGAGGCAGCAGGACGAAGTCCGGCAGTCGTGTGGCCAAGTGTCTTGCCAGTAATGAGTAAAAGATCCACTGGAGCTGAACCACAATCAGCCAAGTACCAGCGACCATTTGGGTCACAAACCTAGGGGAGAAAAGCATTTAAGATGGTATAAAACAAATTGCCACTATTACACTAAAACACCTATCAGAGTGTCGCAAAGGAATAATGTCACTGATGGCTAGGGGGGAAGGAAAAAAGGAAACTTTAGAATTAATTTGAAGCCAACACAAGTGTGATACTAGTCAGGAAAAATTCTCCAACACTAAAGAACAATATTTGTTAGATATCAGGAGTACATGTTGTTTAAAAGACAGTAGAATACCTGCAGACCAGGACTGTCTGAGGAAATCAAAGTCAACAATCCCTTCTCAACCTCACCATTAGCCGCTGGCTTCCCTGCCCCAATAGCCCCTTTTCCATTTTGCAAAGAAGTATGAGAATAGGTGGCAACAAGCACCGAAGAAGACACCTCGCCAGCTGGCAATGGGGTATCATCAAGCAATTGGTTGAAAACACTGCAGTCAACATAATTTGCAAGCTTCATATCATTCATAAGAACCATAACCAACACAAGCTTTCAAAATTAAATATCCACCACCGTCATCATCCTTACTCGCTTCTTAAACGAAGATGTCTTGCTATTGCACATAAAGCAGAGCGCGCTGCCTTTCCCATGCACCTAAATATTTCAGCCATACATGGCGGTGACGAGTCCCAATCTTCCACTGGCCTGCAACACATTTATAAATTATAACACCTAATTACCCACCCAAAGTTTTAACCTTCACACTAATTACGCACAGAACCATTTAAAGTTTCCAACTTTACACCAATCGCACACTACTAATCAAAATACACACTAATTAAACAAGCATTTTTACCTTCCAGCTCTGTACATATAAACCCCGCGGCCGCTACAACCTTTAACGACACCGTTTTGAGACCGACTCCTAAAATACAGCCTTGCAGCCTCGAGGCCACACCGCATAAGCGAGGCTTCGTCACTCCCCAATTCAATAACAGCAGCGTTGTGCCTCATTAAAGACCCCGAAAGCGCATCCACCGCCCGCACGTAGGGCCCGCCAGGAGCCCCATCGTAGGGAGAGATATCAGAGAGCCGGACCCTAGCCAGTGTGGGAGCTGGGTCAGCGGAGTGGTGAGCTGCGGATGCGATAGGGGAAATTACATGATCGAGGGCTGGTGGTGGGGGACGGTGAGAGGAGGAGGAGAGAGGGGCCAGTGGAAGAGGGGGTTGGGATTGAGTGTGGGAGGGAGTAGCTGGGGATCTATGGGCGGAAGTGGAGAGAGGGACAGGGTGTGGTGGTAGTGCAGTGGAGGTTTGCTGATGTTGGTGTTGGTGGTGGCGGTGGTGATGCTGTTGGATCATCATCAAAACCATTAATCATTGTTTTGTGTTTAACTAAGCTTGTTTGATTTTTTATGGGGAACGGTAGAAAATTAGGGTTTTGAATTTGAAGTCATTGTTTATATGGTGTTTTTTCCTCCAAATGACAGTAGTGTGGTAAAAGCTAATAATCTTTTCTTTCTTCCAGGGGGAGGGGGGTGGGTGTTTGCTTTTGTTGATTATGGATTGTGCTGAAGCGTTGGCCGAGAAGTGTTTGTTAATTTCATTTCTGGGGTTTTAGAATTTAGATTGTCTTGCGAGAAGAAGAATATACACACGAGAGTGGAGGTGAGGTGAGGAGGGTGCATGGAGGGAGGGAGGGATGATGAGGGACCTCTATGTTTTACACCTCTTTTATACTAGTTTTTGTTTTTCAGCATTTAAACTAAAACAATTCTTCCTTCTTCTATCATCCAAAATAAATTGTGCAAACCGGCTAGTTTTTATTTGAGTGCAAATCGGGGCTTGAAGCTCAAGAATTAAATTAACTAAGATCCAATTAGATATAAATAACACAGAATCGAATACATGTGGATCGCTAATAATCTAGTCATCTCTAATAAAAGAATTTCTAATTAACCTAAAATTTGTTAACTAGACGGCCAGTCTGACCTCCCAATTTTTTAGACAAAATTGTGCAACACTGGCTGCCTGTTAGTTGGTTTCAGCAATGAGTTTTTTTCTTCTTTCCTTAAATGATTAAGAATATTTTGAGGTTGTCTTTAAATTAAGTAGACTTTGGACAAATCGCAAGCTTTAATGAATGTTTTTAAGAGAAATCTCGGTTAAAATCTCTCGTAATATCGAAATCAAGGATAACCAGAGCTTGTATTTTCCTAATGGTTAAAAGAAAGTAAAATTTGTACTTTTCAAAAGGAAAAAATGAGTGCTTTTTTTTTTTTATCCGAACATAAAAGAAATCTTTTTTCTTGTCAGCGGAAGTCCGGAACCCAACCCCTTGGAAGCAGGTGGCGTGCACAGTTAACTGCAGCTGTGTGGATGCTTAAAAAAGAAGCAAGCATGCGTTGACCGATTGATTTTGTTTGACTTTGATGTTTTATGTGTCATCTCTCTTGTGATTAGTAATGACTTGCTTGCTGAGGGACTATCGCTGCCTCATTTCTCTTGACTGTCTTTTGACAGGAAACATGTGGGGATGGCTGTGAAGAGTACTGCAAAATTGAGATGCCCAGAGGTGTTGTTACCTTGTTCATCATCCAGTGTCAAGAGACTGGTAAGATTGAAGCAATCCAAAGCCAGGAGGAAGCAGCTGCAGCAACTGCTTCCGCTCGATATCAGGCAAGACTAATGAGGCGACACTAGAATATAGAAGGAGACTTCTTTGTAGGTAACTCAACAATGGTCTCTCCCTCTCTCGTTCCCTTTTCTGGGTATAGAGGCTTATATTCTCAGACCAATTTTGATGATGCTGGTGTTCATTCTATAAGTTTCGTTATGGGATGAGGCAACGTAGTTTATTTTCTTTCTGATTCGTTTTGCAGATCACACATGCATAGATTGCGATGCCTGCCGTTGGATGGCTCCAGTAATCCTTCTATTTTTTTATTTGTAGTACTTTTTGTTTAACTGGATTAATATTACTTACCATTCAACATAATAAATTGGCAAACTTCACACAAACGTCTCAAAAAAAATTAAAAAAAAAAAAAAGAAATTGATATCTCAAATGTTGAAGATTTTGATAGCAAGGTGTTGTATTAATTTTTTGATCGACCATGTAGCTAGTATTCAAACGAATTGGTGAGATGTCTGCAGTTGTTTTTAAGCAGCCAACTTCTGGGGAGGAACGCCTCGAAGCTCCTCAGGTGCCTTTGAAAATGGTTTTGCAGTTACTGATGATAACCTGGAGAGGAAGTTGGCTAACCTTTTATACTACATTGTTGTCCACATTAATTTTCCATTCAATTAAAGGAAGATTCTACTGCATGGAGGATGAGAAGGGTAGGAGATATGCTAATCTGCACAAGCTGAATTTCTGGATTTTCTAGTGCATTCTTAAGCCAGGGGTTTACGTACTTTGCCAACTTTATTCCATTTTTTCTAATCTTCTGCCCCCGATTTCTGTCTGTAGCACAAAGTGCTTTGCCTCATTTTACCCTACTGTAGCAAACCTTTTAGCTTGTCTTTGATCGGCTTGATAAAACTTTGACCTTTAACATTACTGATTGCACAGAATTTGATCCAACTGTACTGGTCTAACTGTTAACCTTAAAATGTTTACCTTTTAGGCCTTACTTTCTTGTCCAACGAGTTCAATCCATACCGAGAAACCTGCTCCAGATTTGTTCAAGCAGAGAAGACATTTCCTACACCAATTGATCAGCAGAAAAATACCAGTAGCTTTTCTTCAGCATTCATATTTTGTACACATACACCATCACTCGAAAATTCAAAAATATCACTTGAGCATCTATATCAGGTCCTGGTTTAATCATGACAAGCACCGTATGATAGCCTTCGTACCAACTGTTCCAATCAAGTTGCATAAAAGGAGATCACTGCTTTTCCTTCTTCATAAAAAGTAGCATTATCCTGGTGGATCTAAACTTTTTTCCTTATTTTCCTAAACGAAATGAAAGCAAATCGTACTCATTCCCTTTTCCCTTCTTATTTCCTCGAATCTTTTTCTCTGTCTCACTTTCTGTTCCCTGTCTTATTGATATCTTCCATGGTCAGCTTTTTTCTCTTTTTGGAAACAAATTTCTCTTAAAACATAGGTTGTACCACTGTAGTAATTGCTTCTTGGTCGCATAGCAGCGCTTTAACCATCCTGATATATTGCTCCCAGTTAATTTCTGCATTAGACATCAATGACAGTGTCTCTATCTCATGGTTGGTGCAAGGATCATTCTGCTTATTCTACAAGCCACTGAAGATATTCTTCACTGGGGACCATCTTCTGATGACAGAAACAGGGCTGAACATTTGCGAGAGATACAATAAATGTTCAGGCAGTTTAAGGTCAATTATCCAAATTAGAAGGCAAAACAATTGTTCCAACCAGATGGTCATAGTTACCATAAAAACAACACTAAAAAAAATGAAAACTAACATCACTAAACAATAATACTGGTGTGATATAATAATCCTTGAGTAGAATTAGTACCTGTTCCTGGAGAAGAGTTAAACTTTTCGAAAAGATAAATTTTCACAACATTCACAAGGACTAGATCGCAGCCTAGGGTATCATTCTTTGAGCACAATACGTTTCTAATAGCATCTATCCGAACAATCATATTTTATTATCATGCTTTCTATTAAATGTGGACTCAATCATATGGTGTTGGCCATAACTAATTGTGATTTAGCTCTAATAATGTGTCAAGCCTCCTCGCATGTATGCTGGTCAAACCCAACCACAGATGAATTTAACAGTATACCTCGGCCAAATATGTTAGATATGGTGTTGGTCAAACTCGAAAAATAATTGAATTTAACACCATCAATTCTATAGAGTTTTAAATAAAATTATATATAAGTTATTTTTTAATAAATAAGCTTAAATAAACAAGTCTATACTATATTAAGATCATTATATCTATTAAAATCTTTCATGGCCAATTATCCTTTTATCTTAATTTGATAAAATGAATGAAATACAATTTATAATGCAACTTAAAATATCACAAATATAAAGTTATATTCCAACCTATTTTCTCTATAAAAAAAACAAAATTCATTAATTATAAATAAACTATGAGACCCTCATAATAAATATTTATAATTTTCATTCTTTATCGTATATATATTTTAAGAGAATTTTTCTCTAAAATATTATTATATTTTTTATATTTTAAAAAATAATTATTGAAATATCAAAGAGTTTTTTCCTCTACTAAAATAGACATTTTTTAGTTAGTTTCTTTCATTATCCAGGAAAAAAATTGTTTAATATTTATTTTGGTTGAATATCAGCTAATTTACTTCATTTTGAAATTAATCCAATTAATCACATTTTTTTCATCTATTTAATTATTTTTATAGCAATAGAAGATGAATGATGGATTAGAGGAAGCAAGACAGGGGATGTTGACAGCGTGGCTAACAGAATTAATTGCCAAAGGAAACGTCATGGAAACATCATGGAAAAGATAATAACATCTATATCAACACCATGAACGCTGAGATCAATGAAACTGACATCTTCTCCCAAATGCCCGAATATATTATTCAACAGATTGCCTCATTCCCGCCCACGATAGAAGTGGGAAGTACATCAGTCGTGCCCAAAGCGTTGCATCATATTTGGATTTCATTGCCCATCTTCACAATCCTTGTTTGGACTTGAAATGCTCGCTCTTCCAGTGACGTTGGAAGTGTTGAACATTCTATATCACGGCGTGAATCAGGAGTGCCACATTGATCTAATCGCTTGCAAGAAGAACATTGAGGTGGTGAAGCTGTGTTCTCCTTGCTTAGCAAAAAGAGCATGTAAAGACCCTTACTAATCCCGAATTCCCTACCCTTGTGCTTTGGAGTGGTCCGCCTAGACGAGTTCAAGTCAAGGACCTGAAAATCTCCGTTTAAAGACTGGTGAAAGGCACCACTGATACTCCAGATGCACTCCCGTTCAAATATGCAGCCTTCAAAACTTTCTATTTGAGATTTCTGAGCGCACCAAGAGCTGCTGTAAGACTTTTCTCAACACAAAAGCTCGGTGCCTTTTGTTATCGAAGAAAATTCTTGCTTTGCTGGTATCAAAAACTTGAAGGTACGAGTCAATCGATCAGGATGTAAAGATGTGGTCCTGGCAATGAAAATAAGCACTTCGCAAGGACCGGAGATAGAAAGGCACTTGGAGCACTTAAATCCACAAAATTTAATTTCAAATCCACGTAAAAATGAATGAATAAACATTTTATCAATTGCAGAGTGCAATTTCGGCACTCTGCTAGCTTATGAAGCTGAGAGCCGTTATCTTGCAGAGTGGCAGCAGCATCGCCCGCAAATGTGCTTCTACAAACATGTTGAACAACCACAAGCTACTACAGATATTAAAAAAAAGACATCAAGAATTAATAATATAGTGCCGCGTAGCGAAGCTGATTCTTCAATGCTGCTGGTTTTTATATATCACATAATGTATACAGGAAGTGTCCTCGTTGACAGGCAGAATCAATGCGGGAACGAGACCACTGGTGTTTTGTATGTGCATGGGGAAAACAGAAAAACAAAGCAAAACGTAGATTACCAAGCATGATATAAAATTCTGAGGAGCTTGAGAAGCAATTTATGGGAGGGCAAACACAAAGTGTCCTTTTTCTTCAGTAAATGGAGTGTGTGCTAAGAAACCATGACAACAGCAAACAAAAATAATAACAATGATCTTACAAAATTCGTTCTATTTTTTTTTACATTATATGCTTTGTAATGAATGACATGGAACAAATTTGTATTCTGTGGAACACTCGAAAACGTCTCTTGTCATGAGCAGAAAACCCTGAAAAAACCTCGCCACTCAAGCTGAAGAAGCAAATAAATTGGAGAACACTGGAGCTATGATAAATAACAATGCAGTGAAACAAATATCGAGAAAATTGAATACCATGATACAAAATTGATGGAAAAGAAAATAGTGCATTCACAAAATGAGATGTGAACACAGCAGCAGGATCCAAACCTGTTAAAATGAGTGCATCTGTGTCAATTTATGCTAGTGGAGCTGGTATACTACGTAGCAGGTAAAAGTTTGTGCTGATAAGAGTCTCTCAACAAAAAAAATCGTTCTTACCTGATACTAATTTTGCATCCTCCCTGAATTTAGCCTTCCAACTAAAAGACAGACATCACAGAACATTTTCTTTGAGAAGCACACTCTTTAAAGGGAAACATATAGAAAACTAGAGAAGAAAGCCAACTGGCCAATTCAATCAGGCATCAGCTTTTGGGGGCAAATGCAGCTAGAGCACTAGCATGCGCAGGCGAGAGGTTACTTAATAGAGGTTGCATTTGATGACCATAGAGTGAAATCAGGTGTGAGAAAGCTCTTCCTACTTGAGCCTTGACTTCAGGTGTTTCAACTGGAGAAACCACAACCTGAGCAAAAAGATTGACCAACTCTGGAACAAGTGCAAGGATCTGCTTTTGCGTGTATAAAGAAAGAAAAACAAAGAGCACAGCTTTAGTGATTGAAATAAAACTAAAAAAGCAGATAAGATTAGTATATGTCTGTCCTGTTACTTTCACCACCTCATAACTATTTCAATGATCTAATAAGTTTTCACCAACCAATCTATTAGCTGTATCCATCTGAATAATGTGTGCACACAGACACAAAATTACCTGTTGATTGGATGACAAAACAAGAGTATAGACACAACTGTAGACAGCCATGGACTCTTCATGATCTTCTTTTAATGGAAGAACTTTCAGGAAAACTGGAAGGACCTGAGAAAATTAACCCAAGAGATTTAGCAGTCAAGATTTATGAGGAAGAAGTAAGTACGAATATTAATGGAACAGACTGGGAAGTTAACCTGATTTAATGGAACGGACTGGGGATGCGCCATTATCATCCTTGCAACTGCACCAGCTGCATTATCCCTGACAGCGTCATCTGGCTCAGACTCTCCAAATAATGGGAAGAGCCCGCGCAATGTATCGCCATAATATCTGGTGTTGTTGAAAGAAAAAAGCTCCAGCAACATAAATGAATGGGCTATGTAATGATGAAATCAGCAACAAAATAGTTCCTTCCACCTTTTAAGACAACTTTCAACATAATTAATCACTCACAACAAACTGTAGTCCCACACTATCCAACAGCCACAACATAAATGTAGATTGCAAAAAGCAGAGCTCTTAACTATCATTCATGGCAACATAGAAAAAAGAGGGGAAATGGGTAAGTTTATGGGGTTATGCATGCATAAGGATACTTCAAAGTTGACTCCCCACCATTTTTGCACAATTCTCCAACACAAAATGCAGCATTCCTCCTGTTAGTTGCATTAGATGATGCGAGTTCTTTGATTGCTAAGGGCATCACTCTCTGAAACATGAGATGAGCTTTCAGAAAATATAGAAAAAATATCAGAACTGCCAAATAACCAAACCTTGAATGAACACAAAAGTGTCATGTTGCAATAAAAGTACATCAACATAATCCGCAATTGGAGCACCCATGCCCTGAGCAACTTCTGCAAGGCAAGCAACCACCATAGTTCGATCTTGCGGAGGGCGTGAAGCTTTCTGCACTTTCCAACCATCAAAATTATAAGAATCCAGAACAAGTCTTAGCACAAGATGACAACCAACTTGCCAAGAGGATCAATTAATAACACACCGCAAATTTCATCAAAGGTTCAAATAGGTTTGCAAAGATGGGTGCAAAATGAGAACCCATGGACTCTGCGAAAGCAGGAAGAATGTCAGAAACAGCATCCATAAGCACTTCATCATGTTCTGTGTCGTCATCTTCCATATCACTATCGTCTTCCAACTGCTGACAGGCTGACTCCTCTTTTAGCAATACCAAAGTTGCA